TCTTTGATAAGTCCCCAAGATATGAACACAATGCTTTCTGAGAGGCTTTTCATAAGGTGAATTGTTCATAAGTTATTTTTTATTACATTTCAATGTATGTGCTGAATTTTTCAATGTGCAACTTTGAAATTTCACCAAGCTGACCTCTCGGGCTTGTCGCTCAGCTGCATATCTGCATTGATGCACTGGAACGGGCCACTTGCACTTGCACTCCGACGCTGAGCTGAATCTCTGGCCAGAAAGAATTGGCGTTCGCCCTGCTTCGGCTGCATGAACGGCCGGCGTAAAGGTTCGGTAAGAGGGCGCCCGCGACACAAGCTCTTTGGCTGCCTGAGACGCGTGTGTCCGAAACACGAAGTCCCATGTCTGGCCAGTAATAAACTGAGGATTTGAACAATGGCTCGAAATGATTACTCAATTATTGATATAGTTAATTTGATCATTGATTACATTTTGTCACTTCTAACTGAAAATATTGAACAGAAACTCCCGACCGAGTTCACCATAGCACGATGACTCAAGATATGTGCATCACAACCTATAAGGAATGATTGCAGGACAACATTGCAAGACCTTATAGACAAAAAACAGCAATGTGTGCGGTTGGGCAGACCTGTAATTCAATTACTGAAAGAATGTAATCACATTACCAGCACAACCAATGTCCATCTCCGGAATATTTATTTGGTTAACTATGTGTGTAATTGCCACATTATTCCATTATGGAACAATGATACTGTTATAATAAAAACACAGCACCTCATATTAAAGCGCAGCTTTTGAGAATGACTAAACAAATGTCCTCTTGAATGGTGGAAAATTAACTGAACTTAAATTCAACCTCAGACTGAGAGGAAACATTTGCTAAAAGTGTAGATGGGGGGTCGGGGTGGGGGGTTGCATTGTTTGAGTGCAATAAACTCAAAGAGAACAAATGTGTCCAACAGCCGCTGGAGCCCCAAACAAACGGGTGCCCCGGAACGACCGCTGGCTGTCGCTCGCTCGCTCCCGCTGGCTGCGCTCGCTCGCTCCCGCTGGATGAAGACGCGAAACGTGTTGTGTCATGACAGACAGAGTGATTAAATTGATACCATGGATTTGATGGGGTCAAACGGGCAGGAAGTTGTCATGTGAATGAATGTGCGTGTGTTACTTGAAAGAATGATTGCTTTATTTTAGACATTGACATATAAACAAGGAACACGATACACCTTTCATTCATTTTTATTGAGGGAAAACGAGCATTTCCATGTTTTTGGCTTTAAACGGTTTGTTTTTTTAGATAGGATTTCTCCTGCTTTTGAAAATAGTCTTTCGCAAGGGATGGATGAGACCGGGGTATAGAGAAAGGTTATTGCTAGTTTGTAGAGGTTTGGGTAGACATGTTTGTGCAGCTCCCAGTAGTCCAGGTGGTTTGACATCCTGCTTATGTTGGGTTCCCCCAGGTAAGTGTGGACCTCCACAGTCGCATCTGCGGTCCCACTCTGGGTCCTCCTCTGCATGACTGTGTGGTCCAATCGCCGCCACAGTTTGTCACCTAAGACACAAGAAACAGACTAACAGCCAACAGGCAGTTATGGCTGCCCATCGTAGAGATAGGAGCAAAAGAATGCCTTATCCCACAATAATGCACTGTCGCTCATTTCCTATTGGTTAATTAACACCATTAGAATGCATCGAATATTACCTTGCTCCACAGGCTGGGAAGCTTCTGATGTGTCTGGTTGTGCTGATGAAGATGATGGGTTGGAGGAGGAGTAGGAAGATGCCCTGTGCTGGATGACTGTCGCATATTTAGCTGTGAGCCTCCTCTCAGCCTCTTGTGCTTTATTGGGGCTAAAGAAGCCTATCTTCTTGAACCTGCAAATGACTGTGCTGAGGAGAACCTTGTGCTCTCAATGGTTCCTCGATAGAAAGTCTGCATCATGGGGGCGGAGCTCTTGTTTTCCTCAGTTTGCGGAGGAAGTACAGGCGCAGGTGGGCTTTTTTGGCCAGTGAGGTTGTATTTAGTCTCCAGGTCAGGTCTTCAGAGATGTGCACACCAAGGAACTTGGCGCCACTCACCCTCTCCACTGCGGCACCGTCGATGGTCAGTAGAGCACGCTGGGTGTGCATTCTTCTCAAGTCCACAACAATCTCCTTCGTTTTTTCCACATTCAGGTGGAGATTGTTGTCTTTGCACCACATGGCCAGCCTGGTCACCTCACTCCTGTAGATCGCCTCATCGTTGTTGTTGATGAGACCCACCACAGTCGTGTCGTCTGCAAACTTAATGAAGAGGTTGGAGCAGGATGCGGGAGTGCAGTCGTGGGTCAGTAGAGTGAAGAGGAGGGGGCTCAGCACACATCCTTGGGGGACTCGCGTGTTCACCATGATGTTGCTGGAGGTCTTTCTGCCTACCCGGACTGCCTGTGGCCTCCCTGTCAAAAAGTCCAGCAGCCAGTTAGTTACACATGGAGGTGTTGAGCCCCACGTGGTCCAGTTTGTGGATGAGCCGCTGTGGGATGATGGCGTTGAATGCTGAAGTTGATGAACAGCATTCTGACGTGTTAATCTTTGGTCTCCAGGTGGGTAAGGGCTGAGTGGAAGGCAATAGAGATGGCGTCTGCAGTCGATCGATTTGGCCGATATGCGAACTTGGTAAGGGTCCAGGGTGGCGGGGAGGGCAGACTTATTGTGCCGCATGATTAACCGCACAAAGCACTTCATAAGAATGGGGGTGAGTGCGACTGGGCGGTAATCATTATAACTGGAGGGGGATGACTTTTTCGGGACCGGGATGATGGTGGTAGTTTTGAGGCATGTGGTGACTACAGCCTGGCTCAGTGAGGTGTTGAAGATGTCGGTGAAGACATCTGTGAGCTCCTCAGCACAGTCCTTCAGGACACGACCAGGGATGTTGTCAGGGCCTGCCGCTGTCTGTGTGTTTGTCCCTCTGAAGGATCGTCTCACGTTATCCCGGGAAAGCGTCAGCACCTGGTTGCCGGGATGAAGTGGGGTCTTCTGTGCTGGGATGTTGTTGTTCACCTCAAAACGGGCGAATAATTCATTCAGTTTGTTCATTAGAGAGAAGAAGCTGCCACAGGTCTGCGGAGAGGGCTTATAGTCCGTGATGGTCTGGATCCCACGCCACAGGTTCCTGGCATCTTTGCTCTCATTGAATTCATCTGTGATCCTCTTGGAGAACATTCTCTTGGCCAATCGAATGCCTCGTGACATGTTGGCCCCGGTAGTCCTAAGACCCACCACGTCCCCAGCTTTGAAGGCGGTGTTCCTGGCCCTCAGGAGCTTGCGGACTTCACCTGTTTGCCATGGCTTCTGATTGGCCCAGGTGGTGATGTTTCTGGTGACCGTGACATTGTCTGTGCACTTCTTCATGTAAGACATGACGGTCTCTTAATATTCATGGAGTTCAATGATGTTGCTGTTAGTTCAATGATGTTGCTGTTGGTTGTAGCTGCCTGTTTGAACACACTCCATTCTGTGGTGGAGAAGCAGTCTTGGAGGGCTTCTGTGGACCCACCCGTATCTGCTTTTTTTCCGGTTTGATGACTTTAACCAGCGGCCTGTATGCTGACATTAGCATAACAGTTGTGTGGTCTGAGGCACCAAGGTGTGGGAGGGGGAGAGCTTTGTAGGCTCCTCTATTTGTCGTGTAAACATTGTCCAGCTTATTGGTACCTCTTGTGGGAAAGTTGACATGTCCATGGAGCTGTGGAAGCACGCTCTTGGGGTTTGCATGACTGAAATCCCCTGCCAAGATGAGGAAGGCATCAGGGTAAGCTGTCTGCTGCTTACTGATGTGCTGATGGAGTTCATACAGAGCCTCTCTCCTGCTGTTGGTTGAACCTAGTTGTCGCCTATATCAGAGCTTTGGCACAAATGGAGCAGTCTGCTCCAAAAGCCATTCAACCTCGGGAGGGATGTCTTTATTGATGAGCAGCTGGTCTCCTATAGGGGCCGCTGCTCTTTCAAGCAGTACATGCCCTCCAAACCAGCAAAGTATGGAGTGAAGATTTGGGCACTTTGTGTTGTCCTGACCGCATATACCTGGAAACTGGAGGTCTATGTGGGGAAGCCTCCAGGAAGAGAGCAGACCAAAAACGTGGGGAGGCAAACCGTCTTGAGACTTTGTGACTCTTTCGAGCAAGTGTCAAACTCAAGGCCTGTGGGCCAGATGTGGCCCGCCATCTCATTTTAAGTGGCCTGCGAGAGCTTAAAAGTTTTGAGTGTCTAAAAATAAATAGTCAAACCTGGGTTTTCGACCATAATCCCTTCGCAAAGGCTGTTCGAAAACCGAAACCTTTTTCTTTTGCTAGTAATGGGCTGTCAAACTCAGAGCTACTTGAAAAGGTGGAAAGATCTCCGTTGTCGTCATCACTGTCTGTGAACTGTGTGAACTGACGGAAGATGATGGGTTGGAGGAGGAGGAAGATGCCCTGTGCCGGATGACTGTCGCACATTCAGCTGTGAGACTCCTCTCAGCCTCCTGTGCTTTATTGGGGCTAAAGAAGCCTGTCTTCTTGAACCTGAAAATGACAATGAGACTCATTGCAGTTGTGAACTGTTCAACTAAAGGCAGTTGCGCATTTGTTGGGACTAGTCGACCCATGAGAAAAACAGGCATCTGATACAAACCTGGGATCCAGCAGTGTTGCCAGTGATATGATGCTCATGGCTTGGAGGTTGTACAGCTTGACCCTAAGTTGTTTTTTAAGACCTTCAACCATTGCTTTGCTCTCCTCCATTTGTATGGTTCCCATGTCATCCTCCAAGCTGTGGTGCAGCATGGCCAAAAGTGGTATGAACTTGGACCCAGACACTCTCCTCTCCTCTGAGAGCTCTACAGTGGCATCATTAAATGGGGGACAGCACCTGCAGACTCTTATAAATGAGCTTCAACTGGTGGGATGTGAGTGGGGTAATGTCAGTGTGTCGGCCTGCCAGGGCTGCTCCTACGGCTTCCCTGAGGTCGTACACGCGTTGCAGCATGTGGAAGATGCTGTTCCAGCGTGTCTCCACCTGAAAATAAACGGTCATTATTGTTTGAAAGGGGAGTGGAAGCAGTTATGGATGTCAACTTACCTCTTGAATGAGCTTCAGCACAGGCTCTGTCGGCTTCATTTGCTCCTGCACCTGTGTCAGCCTTGTCTATAAAAAATAAAATAGGAAACAAAACATCTTAGTCATTCAGCATGAATTTGAATACTGCTGTGTAATAAAGGAATTCACCTTTGCAGTGGTACTGCTTTTGAAGTAACCAACTATCCTCCTACACTGAAGACGGCTCTCAGACAGCTCAGTATTTTCTGCCAGAGCCTTCTTCACTGTCAGATTTAATGTGTGCGCCACACAAATTGTGTGACGCAGATGAAGGTCTCTGGCACATGCAGCCATGTTGGCTGCACCATCTGTCACAAGGCAAGTTACTTTGGTGGAAATGCCCCATTGTGCCATGAGTGACCCAGTGTGCCAGTATTGACGAGTTAACGGCAGCCATGTTCTCAGCTGTATGGCGGTCAGGTAAATGGAGCACACCGAACACAGTTGAGTGCAGAGAGGTGTGCTCATCAATGAAATGACAAGTGACTGCCGGATATGCATCTGTGTTGATGCTGGTCCACATATCTGCTGTTATGCTCACTGCAGAGGACATTGCAACAAGCTCTTGGGCCTTCTCCTTTGCCTGCTGGTACCTCTCCTCCACCATGGCTTTCAAAGTCGAAAGGAAAGGAGAAAGAACTCTATTGGAAGAGCGGTAATGGGGGAATGGGGAATAATGATTCATGTGCTCTCATACACACCTGCCTGGTGGGGAGGACATATGTAGGGTCGAAAGCTTGGATACGCTTCCTGAACCCTGTGTCCTCCACAAAACTGAATGGCTGGCAATCTTCAATAAGGGAACTTGATTGTTTGTTTGTTTGTTTGTTTGTTTTCTTGAACATACAAAATATACAAGACAATAATAAATGACAAAATTGAAGGTAATTAAAAATTGTAAAAAGGAAAAGAAAAACAGTCATCATCACAATTTTATGTTCAAAGGAGTAGGAAGAAGTAAAAAACTTATCTAGTCCTACCCCTTGTTATGTAGTAATATATGAATTGATCATTTTTCAATACAAGAAAGAAAAGGAAAAAAATCTACATATCAACAAATGCTTTTACCCTTATGTGCTGTACTTATCTATTTATACAACTTTCGGTTTGTATATACATACTCATTCTTGCACATTTATATTTCAATTTTCTCATTTATAAAGGATACTACATTCCATTAATACATTTAATAAGTTTATCAATGTAATTCTGATGTATTACTATATTTTATAAATATATCAAATTTATCAACTTAACTCTGATTTGTGTAGTTTTTTTGTACTAATCTTTTGAATTTGTTTTTGAACTCAAGAAGCGTTTTACTCATTTTCAGGTCCGTTTCGAAATTATTCCACAGATTTACACCTATTACAGATACACTCCTTTGCTTGATGTTTGTTCGTGTTTTGGATTTTTTGTATAGGTTAGTACCCCTTAAATTAAAACAACTTTCTCGACTTTCAAAAAGCTTCTGGATGTTTTGGCAAAGGAGGTTATGATGTGCTCTGTACATTAATTGGGCCATTTTGAAGTTTGTTTGTTTGTTTATTGAGCATATATAGTACACACAATAACAGATTGACAAAGGCAAGGAACATTTATAAAAGGAAAATTAAAAAAGTAAGTAAAAGAAAAACACATCATCACAGTTGTATGCTCAAAGGAGTAGGAAGAAGTAAACAACTTATCTAGTCCTACCCCTCATTGTGTAGTCATATGAATTGATCATTTTTTAAGACAAAGAAGAAGAAGAAATAGTCTACATATCATCAAATACTTTTACCATTATGTATACTATACTTTTCTATTCATACACCTTTCGGTTTGTGTATATGTAATTATTCTTTCTCCTTTTTGTTTCAATTTTCTCATATTCTTTATAATTAGTGCATTTCTTGAGTACAATTGATAAGTTGATCAAAAATCCAAAACATGAACAGTTGTAATACTATATTTTATAAGTATATCAAATTTAGCTTCTTAATTCTGATTCATGTAGGTTTTTTTTTTGTACTAATCTTTTGAATTTGGATTTGTGGGTTCTATATATTTAGACCTATTGATTATTCTGATTGCTTTTTTTTTTGTAGTTTTAAGACAGGGAGTGTGTTTGTTTTACAGGCGTTCCCCCATATTTCCACACAGTAGGTCATATATGGGAGTAATAATGAGTAATATAATGTGCACAAGGAACTCTTATTCAACACATCCTTAGTTTTGTGGAGTATCCCGATAGTTTTGGATATTTTTCTTTTGACATTATCTATGAGTGGCTTCCAGGATAGTTTAGTATCTATTACTAGTCCAAGAAACTTATTTTCATAAACTCGTTCTATTTCAATTGAATTTATCTTTATTTTAACTTGGTCTTTGATTGGTCTCGTGCCAAAAACAACTTAGTTTTTGTTAAATTTAAAGATAGTTTATTTCTGTCAAACCAGTTTTTTTATTTGGTTAATTCATTTTCCACAGTTTTCAGGAGTTGTTCCATATTTTTTCCACAGCAGTAGAAGGTTGTGTCATCAGCAAATAGGACACATTTGAATTGTTTTGTAACACTACAGATGTCATTTATATATAGAATGAATAAGTTTTGGTCCAAGCACTGATCCCTGAGGAACTCCATGGGTAATCATCAGTAAGTTGGATTTTTTGTTATTAAACTGCACATACTGACATCTGTTTTCTAAATTACTTTCAATCCATTTATATGCTATGCCTCTGATACCATATCTCTCTAATTTATTCAATAATATAGTATGATCTATTGTATCAAAAGCTTTTTTTAGATCTAGAAAAATCCCAACCGTGAATTCTTTGTCGATATTAGTAGCTATTGCTTCCACAAACTCCATTACTGCCATTAAGGTGGTCTGTTTTTCTCTGAAGTCATATTGATTTTCACTTAATAGCACATGTTTATTTATAAAGTTATCAAGTCTGCGAGAAAATAATTTTTCTAATACTTTTGAAAATTGTGGTAGCAGTGATATTGGTCTATAATTTGTCAAGAATTGTCTTTCTCCACTTTTAAAAATTGGAATGACTTTAGCTGTTTTCATTTTTGATGGAAAAACACCGGCTTTAAATGACAGGTTGCATATGTATGTAAAAGTTCGCACTAAAAAATTCGATAATCTGTTTTACTATTGTCATGTCAATATTAAAACAGTCGACTTTTTACTTTTATATGTTTTTACAATATTTAATATTTCATTTTGATTCACAGCAGTAAGAAACATTGTGGAAGATTTTTTTTCTATGTATTTATCTATTTCAAAAGAATTTATTGGATCAGGAATCTGTTTTGCAAAGTTACTGCCAATATTCACAAAATATTCATTAAATTCCTTTGCTATTTCTGCAGTTTCCTCAATAATGGTATTTTTATCTTTCATAAAGTACTCCGGATAATCTACTTTATTAGAGCTATTTCTAATTACATGATTTAAGATTTTCCATATTTCTTGAGTGTTGCTTTTATTTTGCTCCAATAATGCATGAAAATGGTCTCTCTTGCTGGTTCTTATAATGTTTACTAATTTTTTTTTATAAGTCTTATATTTTGTTTCAGCTTCTTTGGTTCTGGATTTTAAAAAACGATTTGTATAGAATGTTTTTCTTTTTACATGCATTTTCTATACCTTTTGTTATCCATGGCTTACTTTGGTTTTTGTACTTTCTGGTGACCTTAATTACTGGGAAATGCTTGTCGTATAAGGAGGTTATGGTTGACTGAAATGTGTCAAATGCAGTATTTGGATCTTCATTTGTGTAGACCTCAGACCAATTTTGCTTGTCTAGGTCGAGCTTGAAAGCTGCGATGGAATGTTGGGTTCTGGGTCTGATTTCTGATATGTGGGTTATTGATTTAGTTTTTCTATCAAAGTAATTGTGAAAGACTGCAAAGACCGGTAGATGGTCACTTATATCGGTAGATGGTCACTTATATCGGTTATGAGAAGTCCACTTTCCTTTTTATGGTCAATCTTATTTATAAATATATTATCTATTAATGTGGCCGTTTCAACTGTTATTCTGCTGGGTCTCAATATGACTGGGGAAAGACCGTTGCTATACATTTTTTTTATGAAATCTGTTGTTTTTTTGTGTCCATTTGGGTTTAATAAGTCAACGTTAAAGTTGCCACATTTTATTCGTGTTTTCTTGTCATTAGAACAACTCAGCATATCTATCATTTTTTTATTAAATGTGTCAAGACAAGATCCTGGTGTCCTATAAACGCAACTTATAATGACATTTGATGCATTTTTAATATGTATTTCAAGAGTTAGACATTCCATGAGATTCTCTGTTGTGTTAGTCAGGCTCTCAATTTTACTGCATTTCAGTGTTTTATCTACATATATTGCAACTCCCCCCTCCTTTTTTGTCTTCCCTATGAGTTGCATACATTTCATATCCATCAATTTTCATTTCACTTGTTTTTACTGGTGCGCGGGTGGACGATGAGTTTGTTGTGCCTCAAGTAGGCAATTTCCCCTCTTTCACGTGACGCTTTTAGTTTTGGAAGCAATTCTTTTCTTTTTTGTCGTACAATATTTGTATAATCTTCATTAATGTAGATTTTGGTACCTTTTAAGTATTTTGCTCTCTGTAGTATCATTGTTTTGTCCTTATATTTTTAAAGTTTCACCACTACTGGCCTTGGTCGAGGTCTTCCCGATTCCTGTCTCCCTGTGCGGTGGGCTCTTTCCACCTCGATTGTCTCCTTTAATTGAAGTTGCTCCTTGAAAATTGTTTGTACTTTTTGCTCCGTTTCAGTCCACGTTTCTCCTTGCTTTTCTTCAATTCCATCGATTATCAAGTTTTTTCTTTTAGATTGTCCCTCTAAGATGTCCATCTTGTCGTTTAAAACCAGCATACTGTCACATACTTTGTATAATTCAGTTTGCATGGTTTTGCAATGGTCAGAATCATTCGTTTGTTGTTTTTTGATGTCGTCGACTTCCTTTTGAGTGTAATTAAGACTAATTTTCAGTTCTTGTACTTCCCTGGAAAAATTGTCAAGTCGTGTGTTTGTTGAGTCCAATATCATCTTTACAAATCCTTTGAAGTGATCTTGTTGTTGCTGCATGAGTGCTGTGAACAGTTCTTTTTGTTGCTTGAGTAGTTCATTTACTTGCGAAAGGGTCATCACTTCTTCATCCTGTTTGGTATCTTGTCCCCGTTTCGG